AGCGTGACCATCCCCCCTGGGGGGTGATTTCTCGCTTTCTATCTCTATGTTTCTCTCTGTCTGTCTGGCAAGCACACGCGCCCTATAGCAAAAACCTCTCAAAAAAAAAAAAATATATTAAAATGATCTTTCACCAAATAGCATTTTCTATACTTTAAGCATATTTCTTTTATTTTTAAACAAAAGCAAGTCCACTGTTTTTATTCAATACCACAGTTTCTCTTTTCCTTCACTCTCACAAACACACAAATTCCATTCAAAATTTTCAATTAATTTTTAGTTATGTTACAAGTTATATTTTATATGTAGTACAAGCTTACTTCACATGTAGGCATATTGTAATATGAAAGATTCTAGAAAAGAAAGTTACTAGAATTCCAAAGAAATCTTTTTTTCCTAACAAAATAAACCTCCTTTACAACAGCCTGCTAAGAACATCTTAAAATCAGTTAAGTAAATCTAATGACGTACCTAAGGAACCCCTAGGTTGTTGACTGTTTGGTGGTATGTTTTCCTTAGCCATAGAGATTAATATTTTACTGTTTTCAGAAAGCGTCTCTGGTGCCTTTCCCTGAAAGGGAAAAAAAACATAATGTTTACAAAAGCTAGAATGAGGAAGTAACCAAAAAGTACACAATCCATCTCAAACTTTTTTTTTAAGTTTTTTTTTTTATTTTGCTATAGGACATGTGTACTTGTCAGAGAGAGAAAGAAATCACACACACACACACACACCTGGAGGAGATGGCCACATTGCAATCTCCTCTCTTCTATTCTCCTCTCAGGATTTTGGGCACACATGCACATGCATCTGGCATGTTCTTCAAGCTGTTGGTCTAAGACTCAAACCACAAAGTCAGTCACATGAGATCCAGTCACCTTAGTAACCACACCGTAGGTGGCCCTATCTCAAAACATTTTTAATTATTTATTTAATTTTACTTATTCCTGTATTTGTTTTAATTTGACCAGGGAGAAAGAGAGAGAAACAGAAAGTGGGAAAGCAAGCCACTAGGTCTAGGACTTGAACTGTGGTTGCCCATGTGAGAGTGTCCAGCGCCTTAACCACCACACCACCTGCTGGTCCCCTAAAAACTTTTATTAAACAGCTTGACAAAATTAGAGTACATCACAGAAGAAACTGAAGTGTAAGGTTTGAGGAATTAACCTAATCTATTTATATACTATAATAATTATATTATTATTATAAACAAATAGTAACTAAGCTCCTTTTAAGTGTCAGGCATTATGCCGAACATTGAAAAACATACAATTTTAAAAATACGATAATGTCTGCCATGATAGAGCATATACTGTATTGAAGGGAGAGTCAGTAAACATAATACCTAAGGTCCAGCTATTCCAGTGCATTAAGTGCTGCTGCCCACCAGACTGAAGCTACTTAAGAGGCCCAAGTTCCATTTCCAGCCCACCCTAAAAAGCCAGGCAAAGTGATTCATGCCTACAGTCCTAACTACTTGGAGACTGAGGCAAGAGGGTCACAACTCAGCAAGATCCTGTCTTTTTTATTTATTTTTTTTTTTGAGAGATTTTTCGCTATAGGGTGCGTTCGCTCTCCAGACAGACAGACAGAGACATAGAGACAGAAAGCGAGAAATCACCCCCCAGGGGGTACAGTCACGCCGCAATCCCTTCTCCTCCATTCTCCTCTCGGGATCTTGGGCATGCACGCACACGCGCCGGGCGTGAGTTTTAAGCCCCCGGGTCCGGGACGCGAAACGGTCGACTAAGTGGGAGTCCAGCGACATAGCCATTATGCTAACTGCTGGTTCCAAGCAAGATCCTGTCTTAAAACACACACAAAGGCCAGCAGGTAACATGAAAGTTAAGGCGTTGTATTCCCACATAGCCTAACACAGTTTAAGTCTCAGACCTGGTGCCCTGAAAATCACACTGGGTGTGTGTGAATGAATGTCCAAAATCCTGAGAGGGAATGGAGAAGGGATTGTGATGTGGCCATTCGCCTAAAAGGTGATTTCTCACTTTCCCTCTCTCTGTTTCGCTCTCTGGAGAGCAGAAATGCCCTATGGCCAAAACAAAACAAAACAAAACCTAAAACACACACACACAATACATGAACAGATTATGTTATATAGAGAGACTAACAGGGTATGTAAGAAAAAAAAAGACTAAGACTAAGTTAAAGAGGCCCAGAGGCCCAGAGATGCTGGGTGAAAGACTATAAGACCAGGGCCAGCAGGTGGCATGGTAGTTGAGGCACTGAACTCCCACATGGCCAACCACAGTTTGAGTCCTGGACCTGGCAGCAGTGTTCCCCTCTCCTCTCCTTCTCCCTCTCTCTCTGGTGAGCACATGTGCTCTGTAACAAATTTTTTAAATAAATAAATAAAATGAAAAATAAATCTTTTTTTTTTTTTTCTTAAAAAAGAAAGAATGTAAGGCCTCCCTAAGCAGGTGATACTTAAACTAAGATTTAAAGATTTCAGGGCTAGCAAGTGGCGTGGTGGTTAAGGCACTGGACTCCCATGTGGCCAACCATGGTTGGAATTCTGGACCTGGAGACTTTCTTTCTCACTTTCCCTCTCTTGTTCTCTGTCTCTCTCTGGTGAGCATGCATACCCTGTAAAAAATTAAAAAAAAAAAAAAAGATTTAAAGATTATCATTTATGTGCTATATTATTCCCTCTCTCTGTCTCTGTGGCAAGTACACGAGCCTTATGACAAAAACCTAAAAAAATAAAGAGGATGTTTTGTATTTACACAGGAGTAATTTTCAGATACAATTTTAACAAAACATGTTGGAAGAAACCATTAACTTTACCTTCATTTCCATGTAAGGTGGATCACTTTCTAATTCTGCTTTGTCTTTGGCCAGTTTGGCTTTTCGCTCTTCAATAAATTCATCCAGATTATCAGCCATTTTTCAGATCCTTAAATAAAAAAATTCTTTGATCAGTACAACTATATTATAATATTTTACTCTAAATTCTTTCAAAAAATTAATGACAACATTATAAAAACATATTAAGAAAACTAACATCCTAAAGATATAATAAAACCATTGTTAGTAATCCTACAAGCTTTGTTTTAGAAGCCTTGTATACATAATTCTTCCAGTGGCAAGAAAACCTTCTACAGAAGTTACTTGTACAATCTTAATAGACAAATAAAATGACAGCTTATTCCATATTGTTTTCAATCTCACTTAACCATTGGCTAATTTACAAGTTACATTTGGTATGCCTGCCTTCTTCCTTTCCAAACTTTCCTAAAAACATACAACATATCTTAAAAGAAATAAAGAATAAAACCACCACCCATATGAACATACTAAAAATCAAAAGCAAATGAACAAAAAAAAGAAACTTTTTATCTTTAACTCAAAGTATTTTTATTTAAAAAAAAAAGTTTTTTGAACTTCTGGTGATAATTTCTAAATTACAGAAAAGTTACAAGATATTAAGACCATCCATACAAGTCTTTACTAACTCCCTGCTGTTGAGATTTTACCCCACTTTGCTTGTGTATACAAGGTCAATCTCTCCACACAATTTCTTCTAAAATTATTCGGACAATGAATTATATATAGCACAGCCTCTCCCCCAAAACTCTACGTGTATTTCTTAAGATGTGGGTTATTTTCCTTGATGACCTTAATAAAATAATGAACTTCAGTAATACTGACTTTTTAAATCTACTGTCCATGTTCCAACTATGTCAACTGACCCAATAGTGGCCTTTATAGCACATTTTTTTTCTCTCTTCAGTTCAGGATTCAGTCACTCCATTTTGCTGTAATGTCTCTTAAGCCTTTTTTAATTTGGAACATCTCACAACCTTCCTTGCTTTTATTAAAATGATATTTGTTAATTCATCCCTTACCCTTTTTTTAAAAAAATTTTTGCCAGAGGGCATGTGCCTTCGCCAGAGGTAGACAGACAAGGGAGGACCAATGAGAAAGCATCCCCTATGACAAGATCGTCATGCCACAATTCCTTCTTCCTCCTTTTGGAATTTTTGGGCACGTAGCCATACATGTGCCTGACATGTTTTTCAGGTTGCAGGTCCAGGACTAGAACCACACAGTTGGCTATGTGGGATCTAGCCACCTTAACCAGGCTACCAGCTAGCTGTACCACTCTTTTTAATAAAACAATTCTTATCTGAGTTGTGCCTGATGTTTTTTCATGACTAAATTTGGGTTATTCATTCTTATCAGGAACATACTTAGGTGTTACTGTGTCCTTCTGAGGATGTCACCAGTAAAGGCACATGATATCCACCTGCCACTTATTAGTGATGTTATTTTCGGTCACCTAATCAAGATGCTTGATTTTGTATTACTTTTCCTTATAACAATAAGCAATCAGCCTATGAGGAGATACTTTTAGGCCATACAAGTACTCTACTCCTGATCAGAATTTCCCCCTATATTTAATATCAATTGATGATTTAATCTTTGATTCTAGATGGCTACAAAATGCCATTTTTCCAATTCCACCACTCCCTACACAATTACTTACCATTGGCATTTACTTAGCACTATTATAAAAGCTTTGCCTTCATCCCATTTATTATTACTACAGAATCATAAGTTGCTTTTTATCAATAAGCTCTGGACTTATTTTTAAGTTCATAAGCTATTATTTGAACTGAGAAATATTGTACATACCATAAAATCCACCTGTTTTAGTAAAAAAAAAAATCCCATTACTTTTAGTAAATTGATATACTTGTTTAAGTATCCCCACAATCACAATTTGTAATGCTGTCACTCTGAAAAGTTGTCTTATTCTCCTCTGCAGTCAATCCCCACTCCCACCCACAACTCAGATAACCACAGTTTCTTTTCTGCCTCTATAATTGTCTCACCTGAAAATTTCATAGAAACAGATCATTCAACAATATGTAGTCTTTTGGCTTCTACTTTAACATGATGTTTCAGAGATTCGTCTTTGTAACTGTATGAACCAGTAAATATTAACAGTTTGGGGTTTTTTTGTTAAGTAGTACACGGAAATACTACATTTTATTTATCTGTCTACCTGATACTGGTCATTTGGGTTGTTTCCATTTTCTGGCTATTTATGAATGATGCTGTTATGAACATTCACATGTAAGTTTTTGTGTGGGCGTGTTTTCAGTTTTCTGTGATACATAGATCTAGGAGTAGATAGGTCAAACAAACTCTATGTTTAACATTTTAAAGAAGTGCTAAACTCAAAATATAAAGTAGTGTATCATTTTATATACCAAGCAGTAGTGTATGGGGATTGCAATTTCTTTTTCTGTTTTAAATTTAGCCAGAGGGTACATGAGCTCACTAGAGAAAAAAGAAGAAGTCAGAGAAGGGGAGAAAGGGAGAAAAATCTTCCTGATGGGGCATGGTCACACCACAATCCCTCCTTCTGTCCTTCTCCACTTGGTAAGGATTTGGGGCATGCGTGTGTGCACACATGCACACGCATGCCCAGCATGTTTTTCGAACCACTGGGGTCAGGATTCCAGCTGCGTTGTCAGTCATGTAGAATCCAGCTGCCTCAACCACCACGGCATGGAGCTTGCCCAAGGGCTGTGATTTCTACACATCCTCACAAAGCTTGGTATCTTCAATCATTTTTATTTTAGTGATTCTACTGGATTCATAAACAGTATCTCTCTGGGGTTTTCATTGTTTTAATTTTGCCAGGGGCATATGCACTGACCAGAGAGAGACAAGAAGGAAGAGAAAGAAACACCACCCTCTACCCCCGATGGGGAATGGTCCCACAGCAACCCTAACTCCTCCATTTCTTCCTCCTTTTGGGATTTTGGGCATTTGTATGCACATGACTGGCATATTTTTCAAGCTGCTGGGCCTGGAATCAAACTCCACAGTTAGTCCTGTGGAATCAGGCTCCCTTAACCAAGAAGCTATGAGTTGGCCCAAAATTTCTTCCTTTTTCATCCAAATGGTTTGTACACTTGCCAGAGAGAAACAGAGGGAAAAAGAAAACACCCCCCAAAGAGGCCTGGTTACACCACAATCTTTTCTCCTCCATTTCTCCATCCTGTCAGGATTTGGAGTGCTCATATATAAGTGCTCAGGTGTGTTTTTCAAGCCATGAGGACTGGGACTCAAACCACATAGTCATCCCCGTGGGATCTAGTTCCCTTAACCATCAGGTCATGGATCAGTCCCTCTCTGGGTTTTAATTTGCATTTTTCTAATGACTGTATTAAGCACTGCTTTTTTTTTTTTTTTTTTTTCCCCAAGAGGTTTTCGCCTTAGGGCATTGCACACTCACTGGAGAGTGACAGACAGTGAAAGGGAAAGTGAGAAATCACCCCCCCACACTCCAGGAAGGTGACCATGTTGTAATCCCTTCTCCTCCTGGGATCTTGGACATGCACACAAACATACCCAGTGTGATTTTTCAAGCCACCAGGTCCAAGATTCGAACCACGATTGGCCATGTGGGAGACCAGCAACATAAACCCCTATGTGTCTGCTGGCCCCAATATCAAGCATCTTTCCATATGCTTGTACTTCATATATCCAGAACATTTCATCACTGGCAAAGTTTTTATTCCAGTCTTATAATCATATCTTAAAAATTCTGCCAGAGGGTAGGTGTTCCCACCAGAGAGAGGAAAGAGAGGGAGTATAAGAGGAAGAAAATTACCCCAATGGGGCATAGTCACACTGCAATCTTTTCTCCTCCATTTCTCCATCCTGTCAGGATTTGGGACATGGGCACGCATACGTAGCATGCTTTTAAGCTGCTGGGGTTGAGATTCAAACTATAGTCGGCCATGTGGGATCGAGTTCCCTTAACAACTAGTCCAGGTGGGTCTGGCCCTGACCACTTTTAAAATTAGGTTGCTTCGGGAACCAGCAGTTAGCGTAATGGCTATGTCACTGGACTCCCACGTAGTCGACCGCGGTTCGTGTCCTGGACCCGGTGGCTTAAAACTCACGCCAGGCGCGTGTGCGTGCATGCCCAAGATCCCAAGAAGAGAATGGAGGAGAAGGGATTGTGGCGTGACCATCCCCCCTGGGGGGTGATTTCTCGCTTTCTGTCTCTATGTCTCTCTCTGTCTGTCTGGCGAGCGCACGCGCCCTACAGTGAAAAATCTCTCAAAAAAAAAAAAAATAGGTTGCTTCCTTATTATTGAGCTGTAAGATTTTTTTTTAAAGAATTATTTATTTATTTATTTATTTCCATTTATTATTGTTATTTTTTCTTTATTTGACGAGAGAGAGAGAAAGAGAAAGAGAAAGTGAGAAAGCAAGCCACCAGGTCCGGGACTTGAACCATGGTTGGCTATGTGGGAATCCAGCGCCCTTATCTACCACACCACCTGTTGGCCCCAGATTTTTTTTAAGAATTATTTTATTTTTTAATTTGACCAAGACAGACAGAAAAAGTGAGAAAGCCAGGGACCTGGTCTACGACTCGAACTGTGGTTGATCATGTGGGAATCCAGTGCAACCACCATACCACTTGCCAGGCCCAAATTTTAAGATTTCTTTACATATGTTGAATACAAGTCCTTTATGACACGTTTTCCTAATGTTTTCACTTAGCTTGTTGCATATTTTCTTGATGTCTTAATATTGAAAATTCTTAATCTTATCAAGTCCATTTATAAATTGTTTTTACAATTTTTTATCAATTTATTGCATGTGTCTTTTGTGTCATGCTGAGAAAATCTTTGCTTAACCCAAGACCATACATATTTTCTCATACATTTTCTTTGAGGACTTTTTTTATATAACCCCTTTTATTTGTATAAAATTAAAAATTCTTGTAATAACAATGTGAAGCAGACAAGATTTACAGGCATGAATGGAAACACTGATCCCATATTCAGTATAAGACAGATCTGAGAGGGAAGCCCCAGGCTTCCACATTCATAACTGTTTTCCCATGACTGATACACCATT